CCTCTGCTGGTGTACAGCTGGCAAAACTTTCCCCATTTTCCAGGCTGCCTCTTGAGTTGATGGAGTTTCCTTTGCAGCAGCCTTTTAATTTCATGAGTCCCACTTGAGGATTGTTGGTCCTGTTTTCTGTGCAACTAGAAATCGATTCAGAAAACCCTTATCTGAGCATGTATGCTGAAGTGTACTCCCCATGCACTCTAATAGAACATTGAGATCTTTGATATATTTGGAATTGATTTCTATGCAAGGGGAGAGAGAAGGACCAAGTTTCATTATTGCTCACATAGATATCCAGTTTTCCAACACCATTTGTTGAAGGTGCTGTCTTTCTCCAATATGTATTTTGGTTATGCTAGTCCCTCTAAGACACTTTTGGGCATCTTGATTTTGACATGTTGTGTGTCTAGGTCACTGTTCTATTGCTGGGGAGAGTCACCATGGCTAAGGCATTTTTTGGTGGCTAGTTTACAGTTTTAGAGGGTTAGTTCATGATTATCAAGGTGGGATGGTGGGAAGCAGACATTCATAGTGCTGGAGACCCAAAGGCAGCAGGCAGAGAGACAGAGAGAGAGAGAGACAGAGACAGAGACAGAGAGACAGAGAGAGAGAGAGAGAGAGAGAGAGAGAGAGAGAGAGAGAGAGAGAGAGAGAGAGAGAGAGAGAGAGAGATGCACCTGGGCATGGACTTTGAAGCCTGAAAACTCATCCCCAGCAATATACCTCTTCTAATAAGGGCACACCTACTCTAAGACAGACACACTTCCTAATCCTTCCTAAACAGTCCCAGTAATTGGGGATCAAGTATTCAAGTATATGAGCCTACTCATTAAATGAGCATTCTCATTAAAACCACCGCAGTGTGTTTCTATTTATATTCAGTTAAGAGGATTTTAAGACTGTCCCTTGTTTCATCTGGAGGTGGATGTGTCTTATGGATGTAGATGTTTATGTATGTGCCCATGGGAGTGTGTATGTCACGTGTGTGCCTTGTACGTTTCTTGTCTGTGTATGTGTCTATGGGTGTGTGTCTTGTGAGTGTGTTTGAATGCCCATGAGCATATGTGTGTCTTGTGTATATGTGAGTACATTCTAGAATGGTCATTTGTCTTCTGGGTGTGCACAGGAAATCTACTTAACTTTGGACACTTAGGGACTTTAAACTCTGATGTTATGGATTCCTATTTTAATATTGTTATTGTTAGAGAATGTAGTCTGATGGGGAAGTCCTGTGTATATGTCGATAAAGCACTGTTGGCCAATAGGGAAGCAAGACAGGTAGGACTAGGAGTCTAGGAGGATTCTGGGAAATGTAGTGAGGGAGCAGTAGCCATGTGATTCCCGGTAAGAGGGGACACAAGTCTGTATTCTTGGAAAGATAAGACCTTATAAAAATATATATTGGTGATTATGGGTCAATAATTAAGTCAGAGCTAGCCAATGAGAAACAATAGCAAACGGCCAACAGCTTTGTAATTAATGTAGTGTCCTGCATGTTATTTGGGGCTTCAGACAGCTCGGCAGGGCCCAGGCGGCAGGTGGGGAAAACAACACATTACAGAACTCTATATGATTTCAGTCCTTTAAAATTTGCTGAGACTTGTTTATTGCAGTATGTATGGTGTATCTCAGTAAATTTCCCCAAAGTGCTGAGAAGCATCTGGATTCTCCAGCGATGGCTCTAGTGGTCTATAGATATCAATTTGCACAGTAGGTTTGCAGCTTCATCAACCCCTTTTATGTTCTTATTGGTTTTCAATATTTTAACAAAAGGATGTTGCTGTGTGTCAGTGGCGCATGCCTTTAATCCCAGCACTTGGGAGGCAGAGGCAGGCGGATCTCTGTGAGTTCCAGGCCAGCCTGGTCTACAGAGCGGGTTCCAGCCTCTAAAACAATACAGAGAAACCCTCCCATCACCGTCTCCTGAGTACCAGAGTTACAGGTGTACTCATTCTGTTTTTTTTTTTAAAGATTTTATTTTTATTTATGTGTGCATCTGTAAAAGTGTATGTCATAGGTGTATAGTACCTGTGTACAAGTCAGAAGAGGGCATTGGATTCTCTGGACTTGGAATTACAGGTGGTGTGAACCACCTTACATGGATGCTAGGAGTCTAAATTCTGGCCCTTGTGGCACCTTCCCAATCCCTCCTCAGTGTGCTTTTTACATGTAACTCATTCTCTATGTCTTTATCTGTAAGTTGTTTGTATATCCTAAGCATTGTGAACAAGGGGTGGGTGTCCTGGAGAGGTATTGATTTTATCCCTGAAGGTTGTCTGCACAGGTAAGGATGCCATGTGGATGTGACTATGGTTTCTTTAAGAGGCATCATGTTGTTTGCTGTGGTACTGTGCCAGCTGGAGGCCCATTGGCAACGCAGTCAGGTTCACTCTTCTCTCTACCCTTACCGTATCACCGTGTTGAAGCACAAGCTATGTTCCTGTGACTCAGATGTGGGATTCAGGCTGTGTCGGCCACATTGATACTGTTTCTTTTTCCCTAGGCTTGTTTCCCCCTTAGACTTGGGGAACAGATGTATGTCTTTCTTTTTCTAGTTGCTTGGATTCCTTAGCTGACTTAATGCAGACACAACTGTTTCAGGGTATTACTTAGAAAGAACAAGAATTAGCTGTGAAACCATGATGCACTGGTCTTCATGCCAGCATCGACTGTGGCAATGCCCTATGGCCCAAGAACTGTTTACCATCAAGAGTCTGGTGATTACATTTTCTCCTTTTATAAGGAATGTTATAAATTTACAATTATGTAACAGCTAGTTTTCATTAAAAATGTTCTTTTGTTTGTATGAATTCTTTAATTTCTGGCGTGGAGAAATAGCTCTCAAGGGCATTAGGTGCTCCTCATTTGAGTGGCATCATTGTTGAAACTCCTGATCAAAACAAGATGAGATATATTGATTTTTTTGAGTAAGATAAATTAAGGCATTATGAGCTCCCACTCCTCATTATGGGCTGTGAGTTAGGATTTATCATGATTTCCTGAAGCTTGGCTCACGTGGCAGATGCCAGGAGACACTAGCGTTTTGAGCTCTCCTCTCCATGTTGTAGCCTCATAGGGTACCTATGGTCAGGCCTCACCTGTTAGTTCCCTTTTGGGACTTGAGAAGGCTATCTCCCTTCCCCAGGTCCTCAAGACCTTATACTTCCTTAAAGGCTCCAATTTCTGACATGGTTGTTTTTCATATGGTTTCCCACACATGTGTTCTGGGAGACACTCCATAGCAGTGTCTAAAAGGGAAGTATATGTGACAGGACGCCACCAGTCCTCGAATGGTAGCTGTGCTAGGCTGTAGCCAGGGGCACCCGTGGATATTGGGGTCCCCCATAGGAAGCCCCCGCCCCAGGAAAATGCTGATCTGAAGCAAACAGCAGGAACTCTGATGGAAAGGTTCAGTGAGTGACACACCCTGGATCACCAGCAAAGGGCATTTGTGCTGTCGTGTGCTGGGACATGTTGGGCATCAAAGGGAGACTGTCCCTTCTCCACCCGAGTAGCATCTGCCCAGAGTGGCACAGAGCTGGCTGGTACTGAGTTCCTAAGCCGGGCTTTGTTCCCAACTCGGGGCAAATGAGGTGATCTACTTGGTGTCCTTGAGCCCTTTGGAAGACTGTAAGTTGTAGGTTATTTGATATTTTAAGGGACTTTTTACTTTTTAAAGCTTATTTCTATTCCTGACTCTGTGTGCGCGCCACGTGTATATGGGTGTCAGTGGAGTCCAGAAGAGGGCGTTGGATCCTCTGGGGCTGGAGTTACAGGTGGTTGTGAGCCACCTGCCCTGGATGCTGGAAGATCAGCCAGTGCTCTAAAACACCTCGCCATCTCTCTAGTCCTAGAGACTTTGTCACTTGGGGGAAAATTAAAAAGTTATCCTTGTCATGTCTGCTTCCCACAAGAACATCTGGCTGGGGTTCTAACAGGGAAGTCCAGTCCAGGCCTGGACTTTTAGGACTCATGGTCCCTAGCTTGATGGCACAATTTCTGCCTGTCCTTTTGTGTTTCTCCAAGTGCAGCTACAGGACAGTGATGCTGAAGGTGTGCCCAGTGCCAGTGTCTGCAGGCTGTCACCCTGTCCTCAGGGAGTTTGCATACTTTGTTAAAAAGGAGTCACTGCTTTTACTTTAGGGCAGCTAGACTCTGTAGGAGGCATGCTTCCTGGCAGAGGTGAACAGTGCCTGGGGAAGGATGGGTTCTTGACTTGAACCCATTCTTATTGGGCATCCCTTCTGACTGACTGTCTCTGGTGTTTTTAATAGGAGAAACTTTCTCTAGAAGGCGTGAGCTCCCTTATCCCCTGCCTCCCCCCTTCTCTTAAGCCTTTAAAACACTGTAGTGAGGACCCCATGGTGTAGGGTCAAAGGCAGGGCCTGTGGCAAGCTGCTTCCTCCTCTCACCAGACTTTTTCATGTGTAGTGTTGGGAAGGAGCCATCTGTGCTGTTGGGGAGCCTTTCGTGGCTAAAATCCAAACATGAGATGTGTGGCGTGTGCCTGTGTGTGTGCGTGCGTGTGTAGCAGTGGTTGCAGCAAACAGGTTTACCTTGTAAAATTCACTAGTAGCTTCAGAGACTTTGTGGCTGTTTGCTCCCATGTCTGTCAAACGGACACCCTGCTGTGCAGGCTCTGTAGGGACTGGTCCCTAAGTGGTGCTCATTACTTAGTAACAGCTGAGAAATAGTGTTCAAAAAGGCAAAGAGCTTTGGCCCTGCCTGTTGGCTCTATGGCTGTTGGTCAGGTTGTTTTTCCCTGGTGCTGGTCACATCCTAGAGGACCATAGCTCAGCTCCTTCCATATCCACAGGGCCTCCAGGATGGCAGCTGCTGGTGTGTCTCATGGAATGGCGCTGTCACTGTCACTGTTCCTTTTATGTCTGATGGAAGCCTTCCTTGCGGACTGGCCTGGATTGTTCCGGATCAAACCGAAAAAAAAAAGTTGTTCACTTCTACTTTGTCCATTGAACCCACATTCTGTTTTGTTTTCTCCTCAGAAAAGAAAGATGTGACTCAAAGCCTGGAGAACTATACAGCCAAGTGTCCCGGGACAATGGAGCCCATTACCCTTCCAGATGGCCTCACGCTGCCTCCTGTACCCTTTACCAAGCTTCCCATTGTCAGGTGAGGCAGTAGGAAGGGTGTGGGATGATGTTCTGCTTCTGTTGCTGGCCCTCTGGCTCATGACTTCATTTAAAAAATGTCATCCTTTGTTTTTGAGAATCCCATACATGCATGCAGTGAAATATGAAAACATCTATCTCCTCCCCATTTCCATCTCCATTTCTCCCCATATCCCTCCCAATCCCTACCCCACCCACCCCCATTTTCATGACTCTTGACCGACCTACTTAGGCTTGACCTTAGCTCTCAGAAGTGACAGTAGCTTCCAGAACTGAGAGTGGTATTGTCCTGCAGCTGCTGTGGTCCATGCCTATTATGTAAGAGAGCTGCGGACAGGTTGATTTCTTTACAGGATGGAAAGCAACTAGACCTGGTCAGTGTGGGCTGACTCCCTCTCCTGGGTCTGCTGCTGGCTATTTGGGAACTGAGATGGTTTCTCCCCTCCCTCCCTCCCTCCCTCCCTCCCTCCCTCCCTCCCTCCCTCCCTCCCTCCCTCCCTCCCTCCCTCCCTCCCTCCCTCCCTCCCTCCCTTGTGGCTGCAGTCAGTGCCCCTCCCTGCTTGGGGATATCCAGGCCATGCGCTGCAGTACCAGCATGAAGCAGGTGCTGTGGGCTTTGGAGGAACTTGTGAATCTCAGAACGATTTGTTTGAGGGCTGAAAGGAAGCAGTTACAATGTGGCATTTTTCTGTGGAGCAGAGGTGTGTAGTGCTAGGGTCCCCCACTGGTGTCTTGGGCACACGTTTCATCTCTTGGCACTTGCATCCCTGAGCCTTGCTGTGGAGGGGCCTGGGCTCCCCTCACAGCCCTACAGTGTTCTGGGGTAGTATCACCCACCCCTCTCTGGGGTCAGCTGCCTGTTACTGATTGAGACTTGAGTGAAGAGCATGTGGGGCTGTTCTTCAGACACGTTGCTTTTCTGCTCTCCTCTCGGAGGCCGTTTTAGCTGCCAGATGGAATTACGGGTGCAGCGCTGGGTGTCACAGGAAGGCTGGCTAGACACAGAAGCCCTGGCAAGCCATGTCTCAGTCCACCCTTCTCCATTTCTTTCCCCTCCTTTCCCCTCCCTCCCTCCTTCCTCCCTCCCTCCTTTCTCCCTCTCCCTTTCCTTTAGTTTTCTTCTTTTAAATTGGAGACAGGGTCTCATGTACCCCAGGCTGGCCCCAAACATGCTATATAGGCAAGGATGACATTGAATTCTCTATTATTTTGCCTGTACCTCCCAAGTGGTAGGATTACAAGTTAACTTTCTAGCAAGACATGGTGGTGCACATCTTTAATTCCAGCACTCGGGAGGCAGAGACAGGTGGATCCCTGAGTTTGAGGCCAGCCTGGTCTACATAGTACGTTTTAGGACAGTAAGGTCTACACAGAGAAACACTGTGTTAAAAAACCCCAAAACAAAACAAAGCAAAATAACAACAACCCACCCCCCCAAAAAACTGTTAACTTCCTTTTCTGTAATGTTGGGGGTCAAATTCAGAACTTTATACATAATGTAGAGAATTACTCTTCTACTTAGCCCCATTCCTAGCAGAAGACAGTGAAAGGACTCTGGGGCTTCCTTAGTCCAAATTCCCACGCCCTAATGGGGCTATGTCTCTGCTAGGAGCATCTCATCTGTAGGCCTGGGGCAGGGGTGTGTTGTTTTTCATCCTTGACAGGAGCTGGAAAGAACGGGTCTCTCCTGAGCTTTTCTTTTTTTATTCATTTATTTTTTACATTCCATTCCCAGTTCCCCCTTCCTCCTTCCCTCCCACTCCCTCTGCTCCCCCATCTGCTCCATGGAGAGGGTAAGGTCTCCCCTAGAAAGTCTACTAAGTCTATCCCATCATCTAGTTGAGGGAGGACCAAAGCACCTCCCCACCCCCACACCCCTGTGTCTAGGCTGGGCAAGGTGTCTCTCCATATAGAATGGTCGCCCCTAAGTCAGTTTGTACGTTAGATCTTGGACCCACTGCCAGTGACCTCATATATTGTCCCAGCTGCACCATTGTCACCTATACTAAGGGAGTCTAGTTCTGGTCTTATTCAGGTTCCCCATTTGTCAGACCTGAGTCAGTGACCTCTCTCTAGATTGGGTCAACTGATTCTGTGGGTTTCCCCATCATGGTCTTGACTCCTTTGTTCATATTTTTGCTCCTCCCTCACTTCGATTGGACTCCAGGAGCTCAGCCCAATGGTTAGTTGTGGATTTCTGCATCTGCTTCCATCTGTTTCTGGAAGAGGGTTCTGGCTTCTCTGAGGTTATTCTCCTGGTCTTTTCTATGAGTAAGATTTAAAGTGGAATATATTAGACTTGGAATTAAGGGCATGATTAAGGTTTCAAACCTAAAGGTTAGAAAACCTTCCTTCCTTCCTTCCTTCTTTCCTTCCTTCCTTTCTTTTTTCTCAAGGGTTTCTCTGTGTAACAACCCTGGCAGTCCTGGAACTCACTTTGTAGACCAGGCTAGCCTAAAACTCAGAGATCTGCCTGCCTCTGCCTCCCTCATGCCACCACAGCCTGGCTAGAAAAGCCTTTCTTAATCCTTCTGTATCTGCATTGTGACTTGGGTCATTTTTAAATTTAGAAAGCCATATATAATAGAATATACTGGACTCCTGGAGCTGCACCTGGGTGTCCCAGTGCTCAGCTCTTAAACCATTCAGGGAAGTCCTGACAGTCCTCCACAGACATGCTCACTGGCCAACCTGGTCTGGACAAACCTTCATCAAGATTCTTTTTTTTCCCCAGCAAATCTCTGTAGAGTCATGGACAGACCTTGTAGGTGGGGTTGTAGTCTCTTCTGAGCTCTCCGTCTCCACTTGATGACAAACAAAAGCTATGCACTGGGCCAACATGTTTCCATAGAAATGGGCTGAGGACTACTGGAGCATATACTACTGGTCCGCTGTTTGCCAGCGTGACCAAGTGCCAGAGACAAAGCATTTTAAGTAGGAAAGGTTTATTTTGCTTCATTGTTTTGGGTATCAGTTTAAGTTCCCTTGGCTCTGCCTGGCTCTGTTGTTTCTGGGCCTGTGGTTAAGTAGTGCATCACTGTGGAGGAGCATAGGGAAGAGAGCTGCTTACCCCCCTGGCAGCTGGGAAGCCGAGAGAGGTGGTGGGGCGGGGGTAGGGGGTGGAGAGGGTGGGGGTGAGGTTTGGGATGTCTTGGGACAACATACACACTTGAAGGACACATTGCCAGTGACTGTGTCCTTCACGCCGGTCCCAGCTCCCAGTAGGCACTGTGAACCCATCAGTGGGTTAACACACCAATGAGGCAGCGGCCTTTCTGAGCCCACAGCCTCTCTGCAGAGTCGCAACTTTAGCACATGGGCCTTTGGATGTTTCTATCCACCCATAGTAACCTGCACGTCCAAGGCAGACTTCGGAAGTAGTGGAAATGACCCCTGGAGATGGGGACAGGCTTGGAGGTGTGAACACGGACGACTGAAGCTCCCTGCTGTGCTGCACGATACGTTGTTTAAAATCAGCCCATGCTTCCAGGTTCTGGATATTAGAAGTAATGCTTCTATGAACATAGTGGAATGGACATCCTTGTGGTATGAATGCGCACCCTTTGGGTATATGCCTAAGAGCGGAATTGCTGGATCCTGAAGTAGACTGATTTCTATTTTCCTAAGAAACTGCCACACTGATTTATTTCCAAAATGGCTCTACAAGTTTGTACTCCCACCAGCAATGGAGGAGTGTTCCCCTTTCTCCAAATCCTCTCTAACATAAACTGGTGTTTTTGATTTTACCCATTCTGACAGATGGAAGATGGTATTGTTTTGATTTGCATTTCCCTGATGCCTACGGATGTTGAACAATTTCTTAAGTGCATATCAACCATGTTAGATTCCTCTATTGAGAATTCTCTATTTAGTTCTGTACCCAACTTTTTAATTAGATTATTTGGTGTTTTGGTGACTAGTTTCTTGAGTTCTTTGTATATTTTAGAAATCAGCCTTCTGGATGTGGGGTTTGTAAAGATCTTTTCCCATTCTGTGGGCTGCTGTTTTGTCTTGTTGACTGTGTCCTTTGCCTTACAGAGGCTTCTCAGTTTCAGGAGGTCCCATTTATTAGTTGTCAATCTTAGTGTCTGTGTTTCTGGTATTATGTTCAGGAAGCGGTTCATTGAAGGGTACTTCCCATTTTCTCTTCCAAGAGGTTCAGTGTGGCTGGATTTATGTTGAGGTCTTAGATCCATTTGTAATAGTCAGAACCTGGAAGCAACTTAGATGCCCCTCAACTGAAGAATGGATAAAGAAAATGTGGTACATTTACACAATGGAGTACTACTCAGCAGAAAAAACTATGTAATCTTGAAATTTGCAGGCAAATGGATGGAACTAGAAGAAACCATTCTGAGTGAGGTAACCCAGATTCAGAAAGACAAACATGAGCCTTTACCCAGTAGCTGATGGAATCAGAAGCAGAGATCCACAACTGAGCACTGAGCTGAACTCTTGGAATCCAGTTGTAGAGAGGGAGGGTTGATGAACAAAGGGGTCAAGATCATGCTGGGGAAGCCCACAGAAACAGCTGACCTGAACAATCAAGAACTCACAGATTCCGGTCTGACAGTTGGGAACCAGCATAGGATTGAACCAGGCCCACTGAATGTAGTTGTCTTGGGGGCCCTGGGCAGTCTATGGGGCCTCTGGCAGTGGAACCAGAATTTATCCCTAGTAAACAGATGGACTTTTGGAGTCCATTCCCTATGGAGGGATACTCAGCCTAGATTTGACAGACTTTGATGATCCTCTGTGGGAGGCCTTACCCTACCTGGGGAGTAGACAGGGGGTTGGTAGGGGACATGGGAGGGAAAGGGAGCTAGGATTGGTATGTAAAATAAAATTGTTTTTAATTTAAATAAAAATTTATAAAAAAAGAATAAAAAAATCAGCCCATACCAGTGATTCAGATTTTAGAGGTTCTGTATGGAATTGTTAGATACAAGGTAATTTTGTTGGAGATGCCTCAAAACTATGATTTCTTGTTTTTAGAATAGA